GCCATTGGATTGCAGAGAGACACAGGATTGGCTGAGGCCAGGTGGTCCAATATGTCTGCGCCCTAATCCGACGCCACACTACACAGCCACACCGGTTGTACACTTTACATCGGTTTACTGGCATTCGTACGCTGTTAAAGTTATTTAATTCGCAGTTGGAATATGTTTTTTAATAGGGTTGGACATAATTTCTATGATTGCACTTCAGGATTACAGATTCCCTAAATAATTTCTCTGTTTTTAACAAACATCTGATCATGTTAAAATTACACCTGCTCGTTCCCCAGTTGTTTCTGCGTTACTGAAAGCACTCTGGATATCTGATCTTACGCAGTGCTTTGCTTAATAGGCAATGTCCATTGTTTCTGTCAATGTAGATCTATTCGCGTGTCAATATCTTGCCCAATATATTTTAATGACGATTTCATCTGGCAGCGCAATGATAGCTTATCAGGTTGTTGCCGATCAATTTTAACTAGAATAAATTTAATTTTTTGCCCTATTTTGCTCTACTACGTACCCGAAACATCGACTTTCAAATGCCAACTTCGCTTTAACTTGTGTCGTTACAAGTATTCGGCTTTCGCCTCATTAGTTCGCGGGTCTTATTTGGGAAAAGCCGATTCTTATTTTGTTAGATGAAAAGCGTATTCAAGACACATTTCTCCGTTGCATTTTCCGGGACCGACTCCCGTTACAGTTAATTACCTATCCGTGTTTGTGAAGTGAACGTTCATCAAACGAGCGTGTGTGAAGCTTATTCACGATTTGACCCAATATCATCGATTGTTGATTACAGTTGACGGTCGATATGCACTCGCGCACTCTGGTATAAAATACTTGTCTGGTCAAATATAAATAATTTGCGATGCTCGCTATAATCTGCCTTGCCTTTCCTCTCGGGTTGTTATGAACTGTTAACTATCAGGGTTGAAACGTTGTGCTAACGATTTTTATGCAATTGTTCTAGTATCCAAGATCTTTTACGCCAATTAAAAACAGTTCGCAAAGTCGATTTTTTAAGTCTTTAAGTAAATTCTTAACAGCTGTAAGTAATGAATTTTTGGTGGCATATTTTGAAAACCTCACAGGTGTTTACCGTGGTATAACTTCGTGGAAACATTTGTGGCGCACTTCAGTTTCTATTATTCAGTTTTTTATTGGGTGATCATTGACTGTTTAGTTAATAACTTTCCTCACTGCTTTGATTAGTTTCTTACTTGGTGCTCTTTTTCAGATTCGTAGTTTTCTTCCTCTCTAGCCTAAGTGTTTGCAGCATAGCTTTTCGCTACTGTTAATTTCGTTAGCATTTTAACCGTGGTTTAATAAAACCATCAAGAAGACATTTTTCTTTGTTTAGAACTACTTTCAATTTCTTGAAGGGAAAACTCCGAATGGCGGCAGTAAATGACCTTTGTTATGTCCCCTTCGATAGTGTCGTTGACACTTCCTTCTGGCACATTCTCTCTAAGAAGAAACTCGACGAATATCGTCTTGAGGAGGGGCCTTTCCCGATGTCCGGAGAGTTTACCAATGGAACTCCCGTTGGAATCGCACCTCGCATGAGCATCGATCACGCCAGTTTGAATGGGTAAACTTATTTGGGACGCCATTGCTTCCCCGATCATCTTGCATGCTAATGCACTATTCACAACTATGTAGGAGTAGTTGGGTTTTTTTTCAGGACTCGCATACTCTTCACTGTCAAATCAGGAAAGCTCATTTGTATTGTTTCAATTTATTTTTTCTGCCTCAACAGATATATTGCGTGTGAGGCTAGAAAATTTCCTTTAAACAATGCTCTGAATGTATTAAGGGCTTTTTTTCCGTTGAGGTCAACACTTTTGCCACGGTTCGCATTTTGAATGGCTTCATTTTGTTTGAAATGCTTTGAATGCAACTAATTTACTCTCTGGTCGAAGATTCACGACTTTGTTCCCTATTCAACTTCTTGTACGCCATACAATCGCTTATCCTGGAGAGACGTTGAATTAATCGACCGTATACTCACAAAAACCAATTTACTCAACTACAACCATGTCTAACCTCTATTTACCGTTCTTGGTTTTAGCCAAGATCTGTTGTACTTTGAAGTGAGCTTATAAAGTGTTTAACTATGTGCAGTAGATATGTCGAGTTGAGCTAAACAGAACATTTGGCTTGCTAAAATTTGGGATTAAATTTGTTGGTTTTTATGTGTCATTTACGGTATTAAAGATTATTTGGAGCTCACAATAAATGGAAACGAACACACTTAATGACGCTTTAGTGACTAGATTTCGTGGTGTAGATTAATATCAAAACTAACATCACAAGGATCTGTTACAAACCCGGTGTACTGAATCTGCTTCCGCGCGTGTGAAAAAAAACAAATTCTGATTTTGCTGAAGATTCTAGACCATTTAATTTTGTGTGTCTTAAAAAAAATTAGGTCATGTGGTGTCTTGAGCCGCTGCCCATTCTACCAAGTTCAGCTCAATGTTCATCGCTTATTTATTTGGCGTGCGGTTGTTAGACTGTTAAAGTTTATTCTGTATCTTTTCAAAGCTCAAATCGATGTCAAGTTGGCTTCTTGACAAATAGTCATGGGTTTGATGTCCACCCAATTTTGGTTTTAGTGTAAATTCGAGTGGAAGAGGCAACCTGTTTCGTGTCAACGGCTACTTATTCACTATCAATACGATTGACAAGTTTCGCACGATGGACAAGCAGGCGCAGATTGACGAGTTCGGTCGGAAGCACATTTGTGGGGAGGCCGTGAATTCGCAGCGCGACTTCCTGCGACATCCAAATAAATTGCTCACCTTCTTTCTTTCTGCCTTTTGTGTACGTCTACCAGTTACCTTGCTATTCTTATCTCCATCTATGTCATAATTCCTGCTAATTTTGTCCACTACATTGGTTATCTTTGCTAAGCATGTCAGCTTTTGTGGGAACCACCTACATCACTGACCGCTTATTCCTCTTTTTAGGATCTGAAACACCACAAATTCTATTATTGGTTTTCGTTCCCCGCCGTCTCCCAAGTACACAAACCGCAACTCCTTTCCAAGACTTCAATTACGACCGAATTTAGCCAAGCACAGGTACCTTGGTATTGCTTTCTGTTTGACTTCGGTGGGGTTTAACCCATGAAGGGTGGTACTCTTTCGCCGTATCCGCGTATAACGTAACTAGGCATTTGTGGTCTGGAACCTCGTCTAGGCCCATGCATTTCCTTCGTTTGAGGTGGGGTAAAAGACAAGGATATAGCTGTTTCAGGTAATTTCGATCTTCAAAACATCTTAGACGCATTTCCCTCTTGAGCAGCTGATACCTTTGAACGCAGGAAATCGTTTTGAGAACGTAGGCGTCCTTGTTAATTCAAACTCTCGTAACGGAAGTTATAAATACACAACATGGTCGAACAGTAGATGTCCTAACAAAGTCCCAACAAACTCAGATTATTTCAAATTCGTCAATCATTTGTAGTGTTTTGGCGACCCTGAGAGGCTGGGCAGGTGCACTTATTTTTCACTAGTCCGAATTGCTCCCGGCAAACCGATCCCTTTTTAGCTTGGCACCTTCCTGCCGAGTTACGATGCGTGGCGCCAGCAAAGCGGTGACGCATTCTTCTGCCTGAAGGCCACCCCCGACGGACTTGCCGTCGCCAACCTCGAAACTCTCGACATCGGAAACAAAGCACGTTCCAGTGGTCACGGTGTTGCTGCCTTTGCTTTTTTGCCTTTACGTCATCTTTGCATTTTTTCTGGTTTTAGAGCCATTACGTCGGGTTTTGTGATCCATCTAGCCACGCCGACTTCCCTGGTTGGGCCTTGAGGAATCTGCTTTTCGCCCTGTCGACCACAGTGTATGAACGACTTAGCGATTCGGTTATTTTTAGTTCTCACCGGTTAACGAGTCACCCTTTTATCGAGATGATGGTTTTTGACAATTCGATGGATCGAGAATAATTTTTTTCTCAAAGTAATTGTTGGTTTTCACAAATCGGTGTAGCAAGTGTTAATTATTGTGGGCAAGTAGGGCTTGAAGATGCCCCATCAGGTGGTATTTTTTAGTTATTCAACCCAAATGTACAGTGCACTGATTTACCCTCCACCTGAGACATTGATGTCATTTTTTTTTATATTCGGCCACCAAGTTTCGTGCAATTGATTGGGCCAAATATTGAGGTTCTCTTTTTGTGATTGCAGAAAAGACAGCCAAGCAATCAAGGTTATCTGTTTTCGTGACCGCTACTTCAATCAGGAACGGAATTTCTCCCACAGCCTCGTCCTGGGGATCAAAATTGAACCGGAATCCGCCTCCGAAGGTAGAATTCCCTTTAGCGGCTTCACTTTCAACTGAATTAACACGCCTGCCCGCTTTCTTTCAGATACCAGATTCGTTGGATGGGAAAAGTGGAAGGGGAAGCTGCAACCGAGATTCGTCAACCTCAGCTCAACTATGGATCCCGTCAAGTACGTTTGTCTGACTCCGTTGGCCTGTGGTTGCCAGGGTTCCCTTTTTTACCCAAAGGTGGCTCTAGAAACCGGTCACAGAAGAAGTCATTCATTGACTGGGGATAATGTAATGAAGTGCTCATAGATGTGGGTTTTTTCGCTCGTCTCCTAAACTTCTTGCAGGCTACGCCAAACTATTTGTGAGTCACCCTGCCTTTCAGGCTGGCCACTTCCGCAGTGGACTTGAATTTGAAGTTGATGCTGTGGCGCATGCTCCCCAATATCGACCTCGGTGTGCTGCACAAAACCCGCTGCCTCATCCTCGGTTCGGGCACCCTGGGCTGCAACGTCGCGAGGCAACTTCTGGTGAGGCTTTTTACTCTATCGCTGATCAAACACTTAGTCTACTGTTTCTCATTGAGTAAGCATTCTAATTTCCTCGACTTACTAGTACTACACAAGCAGCTCTCTTCCTTTTTTTTTCATTTTAACTACGTCTGTGGTAATCTTGCTCTTCAAATGAGCTGTCAGTCAACTTCTTCGCTAGTCGAATTTTGCACTGAATTGTCGCACCAGTATTGGATCAAGCAGGTTACCTCAGTGCGCACTCGTCTGGTCGAATTGACTGTGTGTGCTGGGGCATCATCCAGTTGCAGGAGCGCACCACGTCCCGTGGCCTGTCGAAGACGCGCACCCCTAAGAATGCCGGCCAACGTTCATTCACTGAGTGCTTTCCCTGGCTCTGATTCTGCTGCCATTTCAGCCCAATTTTCCCAATCCCACGCCAGAATCATCGTCCACCTCGTCGAGTTTTTCTGCAAGCAGTCACCTTTTTATTGACTCATGTTAAGCAGTCACTCCCGAGCTTAAGCTCACGCATTCATCTGCCTGATTCCTGTTCCGCTACTTCACTCGTAATGCCACTTTCCACCTTCGCCTCCCACCACACCAGGCAGGTGGCTTTAGGAAGTGATAGGTAGATTGAAGACAGAACTATTAAGCCTCATTCTTCATCAACATGCCATCTGTGTTGCCTTGCATGGGGAAAACGACTAGTTTTTCCACTAGCGTTTGTCTTAATTGTTTTCCAGGTCAATCCCATTTACCAATTCCATCTGCCCAATCTGTCTAATCATCTACTTATTCGACAAACATGGCAACAAGTAGTATCAAGTAAATTGTGATGCACCGGTATTCCCATTTCGCCAGTGCGTTGGCCAAATCCCCTCACTTTAACTAACTGCAGTTGGGTTGTTTTAGGAGATATATCAACACAGCCGTCTTATTCACTACACCCGATTTGTGTAAAGAACACCAGTGTAAGCAATAGCGGATATACGCGCAGCGATCGAAGAACAGCACAAAACAATCCGTTATGGGAGATTTTAATAGCGTTATCCCAAACAATAAATACAGTCGCTTACCAGTATTTGGGGACGTTGAGCAGTATTTTTGTACATAGCCAGTATAGTAAAACAAGAGGTCATACGGAAGTTAAATGACAAATGTTGCACCCCCCCCCCACCACCCATGTTTGGCATGTGTACAAGTAACTAGAGGCCTCGTCTTTTTCAGGCCTGGGGCTTCCAAAGCATAACTTTTGTGGACAACTCCACTGTCTCCTATTCGAACCCCGCTCGACAGACTCTCTTCACTTTCGAGGACGCCAAATCTGGCACCGAGAAGGCTGTTGCAGCCGCCGAGGCCCTCAAGCGGATTCTCCCCTCTGTCGTAGGTGTCCCTTTTTTTCACGCCTTTTTGGCGTATTTGTTGCAATCAATTGTGGTACTTCGTGCACATCCAAAGTGGACGGGTTATGCGACTGCGCCGACTTGCCGCAAGCCCTGTTGCCCGTCGATCCAAGCTAAACTCGTCGATTTGCACCGGTACACCGGCTCACAATAAATCATGCGAATGCGTTGTCTCATTGTTAGCTAATGTTCGCCCTCTGCCAAGTCCCTCCTATGGTAGACTTTGGTTTCTTAGGGTCAGTCCAAGGCCACGCAAGTAGTGCTGTCGAAGGCGGACGCTAAAAGTCCGGAATGCAGCAGAAAAGGGCTCTCTTAGAAAAGCTGTCACTACCCACCTACACTCCATGCGTTCTCGCTTCGTCAGTAACGGCGGACCCTCTTTCCCGAAACTGCATTCCAGTTCTTCAACCGGTTTGATTGTGTACTTTGTAGGGTTATATTTGATAAATGTGCCTCTCGTTTGGAAAACGCCGCTGAATTGGATTTTCTACAAAGTCATAAAGGACTTATGGCAGTTGGTCGGTCGTATTTTCACCCATGTCCTGTTTCAACACTGAAACACTACCACATGTGGTTTAGTAGTAATATTTGCCGTGGGCTTTTGCCGCACACACAACTTGGGTCGAAGCCTGTGGATTGGCTATTTTTAACGTTGAAAAATGCGCTAATAAACAGACCAGTACTCTTTTGTAGTAGCAAACAGCTAGTCATTTTTCTTGCGAGAATGTAGGGTCGTGCAAATGTGTGGGTCCAAATATTTGTGGCAAAATTTCCGGACACGAGGGAACGAATGGTAACATTACCCTTCTGTACAAATTCAGTTACCAGGATGGTTAATTAAACCTGACACTAATCTGACTATTGTGTGCCTGTAAATTGTGGGGAAAAGGGCACCGGAAAAAGGATTGCGAGGGATTCTACAGTTCGGTCGTCCGTATCTTGTCTAATTTGTCAGTTGCCTCATGTATACCCAGACGCTGACAGTCTGTGGACGGTGCGGCCCCTGTTTGTGCCTGAGCAGAAGCTCTTCAATTCACAAACTCACTTAAGCAGTCGTGGCCTGTGACGCCCAATGGCGAGTTGCTGTGCTTTGTAGAATGCAAGCGCACACAACCTCACAATTCCAATGCCCGGCCATCCCGTGTCAAACGCCTCTGCTGGTTCAAATGCGTCCAGCCTTGTCGAGTCTGTGCGCGAAGCCTGCTCGAATCTGGATGAACTTGTTCAAAATCACGACGTTGTTTTCCTTCTGTTGGACACACGTGAAGCTCGTTGGCTCCCCACCCTCCTGGCTACTTACCACGGCAAGGTGGGATATAATTTTTCTACGCAATATGTACTACTTATGTGTATTAAGCAGAAATCATTTTATGCTTAGCTTGCAATCACAGCCGCGCTCGGTTTTGACACCTTTCTGGTCCTGCGTCACGGCCTGCCCCGCAAGCAAGGCACCTCGCCGTCGTCAGACCGTTGTGTCTCCGGGGAATCAAGCAAGAAGATAGATGGTGGTGGTTTGGGGTGCTACTTCTGCAATGACGTTGTCGGCCCTGCAAATGTACGCTCGACTTCATAGGTTTCCAAGCCTCCTACATTGCGAAAATTGATTGTTTATGTATACGTTTTGTAGTCCACGAGAGACCGGACCTTGGACCAGCAGTGCACAGTCGCCCGTCCGGGCGCCTCGATGGTGGCCTCCGCCCTAGCCGTGGAGCTGTGCGTCGGTCTGTTGCAGCATCCCGATGGGCAAGTCTCGATTCACCAAGACTTTCGACAATGTCTTTAGGCTCGACTGACGCCTGAATTCGCGCCTTTTTATATTTCAGAAATATTTGATAACCTCCTTGTGTCATTTCAAGCTTATTTTGCCGGTTTAACTTTCATCCGTTCAGTGTACTATTGTGATGACAAGACGCGTGGAAGTGAATTCTCACCTTGATTTCTGCTCCCATTAATTTCTTTGAAATCCACAGATACTTTCACTGGTCAATAAACTCCGTATGCTAACTTTTCTGTCAGTTTTGCATTGTCTGCGAGTCAACAACTCTTCTTTGTTGTCTTTAAGAGGCTTCGCTCCCGCTGGCGGACGCAGCGACGCCGATTGTCCGGGCTCGCAGGACTACACCTTCGGCTTTCTGCCCCACCAGGTGCGCATCAGCTAAGCCGCCTCCGTTTGAGTTGATCGTGGGGCTGGCGGTTAGCGATCAAGCTGGGATGCCGTCTGAAGGCGCTAATCCTACATTCTAGTTGTGCTTCTTTGTCACGAACGACCACCTTTGTTTGTCCACCTCTGTTGGGTTTGGTCTTGGGTAACTGGAGGGCTTTCACGGTTAAACCTGCTGGCTGGCCAGTTCGTTGGCAGGACTTAATGCCTTATTTGGTGAATTTGTTAGTGCCTCATTTGCTAAACCTGCGTTTTATCTAGATACGTGGATTTTTGTCGCAATTCTCCGAGGTCGTGCCCTGCACTGCCGCCTTCTCTCGGTGCTCCGCGTGTTCGCAACCCGTACGTTTTTGTGTGTTGGCTGAGATCCGACGTTGACGCCAGCTGATTTGCCCAGTCATCGTCGCAACTGTTTGTTTTTTCTTCCGACTTTCTCGGATCCGACAACTTATCTTTGGCATTCAGCGAAATGGGCCGTGTGTGCTCTTTTTAGGTACTGGACGCCTACGCTAAGGGTGGTTTTGACTTCTTGCTTCGGGTCTTCGACGAGCCTGGCTACCTGGAAGAGGTTTCCGGGCTGAAGGAGCTGCAACTTGAAACTTACTTTGATGAAGTAAGCTGCTAGAGGAGGCTGGGCCTTATTAACATGTGTGGACACTTAGCGTTGCCTCCGTGTACGACGTAGTAAATGTCTGCAGATCGCCT